TCTTTCTTTCCCAGCAATTTCAGAGAAAACTCTCACATCCACCCACCGGCCTCAATGGGCCACCGAATTATTGGAAACATGTTGGTGATGGGTCAACCCACCCACACTCAGGGGTCTAGCCCGACTCACCAAAAACTATGGTGGGCTTTTTGACATAGCACGTGTATCTTCACCTGATAAGATCACTGATGAAGATGGCCAAAAAACAAGGGATAATTAATCTGTAAGTCTTTATAGTTTTAACTGATTTTAAATCAGGTCTCTGTAGTTTTATTTCTTTTTATTAGGTCCTTATACTTTCACATCTTTTTAATTAGGTCCTTGTATTTATTTTTCTTTTTATAAAGTCCTTATAAGTTCACCTCATTTTTAATTAAGTCCTTGAATTTTTTACTCTTTATTTTATGAATTCTAATAATACTATTCTATAATCATAAAATAGTATATATTATTTAATATTAGTTTATAAACAATAATACTCTAAAAATAATGAATTATTACAATAATTTTGTTTTTTTGCCAGCAAGAAAATATTATTTGTTCTAAAAAATTTATCTGAATTAATTAATTATATTACTTATATTAATTTAATTTAATTATTAATATTTTATATTTCAGTAATCTAATTAATTAAGTTTATATTTAACTAATAAATAAAAATTAAAACAACATGGACTTGATTAAGAATTTAGGGAAATTATAAGGACTTTATAAAAAGAAAAATAAATGTAAGGACCTAATTAAAAACATGTGAAAGAATAAGGACCTAATAAAAAGAAAAAAAACTATAAGGACCTGATTCAAAATTGGTTGAAACTATAAGGACTTACAGATTAATTAACCCAAAAAATAAAAAAGCAAAAACAAAAACAAAAAGAACAAAAGGTCATTGATTTTTTTTTTTTGGTAATGAACGAGGGCTAGGCCCGAGGATATACTCCTTTGGTCCTATTTATAGGACAGAGAGAGAGAGTTTTTTTTTGTTTTATTTATAAGTCACTTTATTAAATTTTTACCATAAATGTAACATATTGTCATTCATTTATTATAGTATAAATAGTTTTTTTAAAAAAAATGTATATATTAAATAGGAATAAAGTTGAAAAGTTGTTATATTTTAATGAAGAGTTAATGCAGTTTAATGTTTTCTTTAGTCTGTGTAAAACATGTTAGAAGTACCTTATAAATAGGACTAAAAGAGTATTAAATAACTTAAAGGGGAACAGTCTCATACAATCACTCGAGAGCAAAGTTCCTAAATGAGTAGGATAGGAATGTAAAACTAAATCAAAGGAAAGTCCTTGTTTAGCTAGAGCATCAGCCAGCTGGTTTTGTTCTAGGTCACTTGCAGGTCCTATGAGTAGTTAAACATGCTCTAGATTTGAAAAAAAGTAAGACTACTACTGTGAAAAGTATCTTTGGTTTGAACCATCTCTACTAGGATCTTTGAATCTGATTCCAAAATTATTTTCCTGAATCCAAATTCCCAAGCCAATCTCAAACCTCTTAACATGGCCCATTCTTCCGCAGCAAGGATAGTACAGCTTTTAAGAGTTTGAGTAAACCCCACAATCCATGACCCATCATGGTTTCTAATAACTCTGCCACATCCAACTTTGTTCTTGGTTGTTGAAATAACACCATCTACATTCAACTTCAACCAACCAGGTTGAGGGGGTAGCCACTTTGAAGGAGCTCTTGGTAGAGGAGATGTCTGTGTGAAGGAAATATTAGTATCTTGCACAAATTTCCTCCAACAATTCAGAATAACAGTAGCTATGTTGTATGGTTTTATGAAGTCAGTATCAAAGATAAAACTATTCCTCCCTCTCCATAGTAGCTAGACAGTAACGCCCCATAAAAGACTCCAAGGGGGAGAGGAGTTAATTCCTAAATCTTTTTTGAGATTCATGGCAAACCAATCTCTAATAGAAGCAACAAAGAATTGGGTATAATGAAACGGATTCAAGAAACATATCCACAACCGTCTAGCATAAGTGCAATATCTCAAGATATGCATCACATTTTCCATTGTAGAATTGCAAAAGGAGCACAATGGTGAGGCTAGCGACTATTTACTTCTCCATCTATTAGTAGGAAGTCTGCTATGAAAAAAAATTCATAAGAGGACTCTAATTCTTTCAGCTCCTCTCCATTTCCAAATAGCCTTATAAGTTGAGCTATACAAATTATTAGGTGGTCACTCAATCACATAGTAAGTACTTTTAACAGTAAAGTTACCATGTCTATGAGCATCATTACCAGCTTCTACCATAGGGAGGGAGATTATACTTAATAGGGAAGGAGACTGATTTCAAAAAATCACAACATGCACCTACGGTGACCAGAGACAACATTAAAAAGCTCCTATCATGGTAAATGTCAAAATCCAATGGCTGTGTTGTGCTTTTGTTCAGATTATTACATCACCTTCCTCTGGAAATTTATGAAGCATGCTATTCACTTCTGTTTTGAACTTCTGCGTTTTGTTTCTGAATACAAGAGATCCATACCCTTCATCAAGGACTAGATTCTGGTTCAATTATCCGCAATTTTTTTACATTATAGTAAATATAAATAATAACAGATATATAATAAGTTTCAAATATTTTTTTTGGGTGCAGTAATTTCAACTGTTTATTGAGGATGGGACGTCATGTTCGGCGGGGCAGAGGTCGTGGCATCTGCTATAGAATGGGCCATGGCAGAGCTTATGAGAAGCCCAATGGACCGCAAGGAGACCCAACAAGAGGTGCTGATATTGTGGGCCTGGATCAAAGATTTGCAAAACCCATCCTGACAAGTTGAATTACCTCAAATGTGCAGTCATGTACCAGGGAAAAACAATGCGCGCTCCAAGAAACATTATGGCATCTTAAGTTTAGTAAAAATAGCTAATTCTTCCAATGCACTCGTAGAGATTGAATTCAGCAAAAGAAACTAGTCTCCAAAATATAACAAATCAAGATTTGAATCTCCATTAAAAGATATATCTGCATTTAGTATCTAATAATGTCTCGGAAAGGGGAAAAAAAACTTATTAAAAAGTGCAACATTTTTTACGGATGGAGGTGAGCACAGTCCAAATTATATTACTAATGATTATTAGAGCAACGAGTTAATAATTCTCAGAGCAGAGATTTTTGTTTTGTTGTTAACTTACAATTTTCTTTTTTGGGAAACTCCAATTGTAACCCATTTAGCCAACTTCCAAAGTCGGAAATTAACGATAATTGTCACATCGAGATCGTGAGGATAAAGAGTTTTTGAAACATTATATCTTTAATAGAAACTTAGCTTGATGCTAGAGATATATGAACGATTCGATTTTTCTGTTTTCAGTGAGTAATACGATTTTTAAAATGTGATGCATGCTCGTTATTACAGTATCAAATTTTAAGGATTATGAATGAAAAATGCATTAAATCGGTGGTTAGATGTATATTGCGGTATGCACTGATCGACTCTCAAGGCAAACTCACTATATGTACAAAGAAGTGAAGAACCAACCACACTCTTTTGTCCTGCTATTTTCCCCCTTTTTTTATGCGAAGAATTTGACGGTTTCTCTTAATCATCATTCTTTTATTCTTTTAAAACTTATCTTCGGTAAAAGTAAAAAAAAAAAAGATCACGATTCATGAATAAAAAATAACACTCTTGTTCATATTAAAAAAAAATAAAGCGATATCATTAAACTATAAAAAGATTGCATATATAATTTTGAAACTCAATTTGAACACAACAGATGATTTTTCTCATGCAGGAAATTTGGGAATGTCACTTTTATTTTGTGGACTCCGAATAGGAGGCGATACTTATATGAAGAAGAAAGAAGGGAATTAGATATTAAATAATAATAATAGTAATACCTCCGGTCTTAAATATAAGATCTATTTTGTAATGTAAATCACACTACAAAATGAATATTATATTTGGGATTAGCGGAGTAATAATAAAAGAACTGCTCAATCACCAAGCCGCTTTTTGCTAACTTGATTAGAGGGATAAGTATATTTGATGTCTCTTTATTTTGGCTCTTACACATTTTTTGGAATCCATCTCTCCCACTCTTCCTTCTCAACTTCCACCAAATCAAATCCCACTCTCTCCTCGCGAACATGTACCACGCGCTCGCGCGTACTGTTCTTAAAAATTCAATCTCATGTGATCCTCAGTCTTAAAACGAATAGCAATTTGTTACGTTTTTGCTTTAAAACTCGTTAGTCTTTTTTGAAAGGTAAAATAAAGAATGAAGACTAGAAATAGCAACGACACAGAAAAAACACAACAATTTTACCCTGATGGCCTAAACAAAACAAAAATGACACTCTTTCCGGTTCTAAATATAAAACTCGTTTTGTAGTATAATTTTATACTACAAAACAAGTCTTATATTTAGGATTGGAGAAGTATTTTTATGAGCGTCAAATAGGAACAGTCATAATATGCTGCGAATAAAATAAACAAAGCAAAACCTGCGCGTATGGATTATAGTAGCGTAATAACTTAACAAATTCAGATTAATTAGCAATTACAATAATAATATTATTATATATTATTTAAGCACAAAAGGTAAAAATTAATGCTAATAATATTTAAAAAAAAAAAAAGGATTGGAATTGGCCCCACAAATAAAGCCTCCATCACCTTTCCCTCAAGCTCAAGCATTGTGCACTCTCACACTTCGTGTCCTTTTTGCCTTGTGCTTGCATGTGACCTCACTCCCACTTCCCATTTTACTGTCGGCGCTTTCATATTTCAGTTATCACAAAAATATATTACTACTATTTAAGAGAGAGTTAAAAATAATGAGTATCTATTTCAACATTTAAAGTAATATTAAGTGTTTTATATAAAAAAAAAAAAGATACGACTAATTTTCTAAAGATTTCAAAGTCTCTCACTCTCTCTAGCTTGGCTTTCAAGTCTCAAACCCGTGAGACTCACTGCTACTATAAATGAATCGCACTTTCATTTCAGTTTCAACACAGAGCGTTTCATCAAACACATTGTGCTCACTCAACAATGAAGCTCCTCAGATTCTCTTACCTCGCTCTGTTCATAGTCTTCCTCGCTGGGTTGCCGGATACTGGAATCGCCCATGATTATAGAGATGCATTGTCGAAGGCAATCTTGTTCTTCGAGGGCCAGCGATCAGGGTATCTGCCGGTTGACCAGAGAATGAGATGGAGAGACCATTCAGGGCTGAGCGACGGGTGGACTTACAACACAGACCTCACCGGCGGCTACTACGACGCCGGCGACAACGTGAAGTTTGGATTCCCGATGGCATTCACCGCCACAATGTTGGCCTGGAGCGTCGTCGAATTCAGAGATGAGATGCCTCCTGAGGAGCTTCGGAATTGCCTCGTTGCTATTCGCTGGGGTACCGATTATCTGCTCAAGACTGTGTCTCAGCCCGATCGAATTTTTGTTCAGGTAACTACAATTGCAAATGAATCATTTTCACGTAGATTTTCTTACTGTTTTTGCGAATCAAAATTGTTTTATAGCAATCCACCATTACATTATTAATCATTTAAGATATAGAAATATAAAATTTGGATAATAATTTCATGCATCGATCCTAGACAGTCGTGTGGTTGAGGTTGAAAACAGATTGAGAAGGTAGGTGAGGTTAGTTTGGAGAATTGAAAGGGCAGGCATGATCTTGTGTTGTGTGCTCTATTAGTGCGTGAATGGGCAGCGGGAATGTAGTTACGTGGTCACACTCTTTTTTTTTTTGGGCAAAGGTACGTGGTCACATTAGTCCTCACCTTTTTCTTCGATCTCGACCCTTTCGTCTCCACGTCATTCCATTCATTTTCTTTATATACTACTAATCAAAACTACTTGTATATATACCTCTTCACTTGACATTTAAGTTTTTATTGATTATTTTTTTATTAATTATATATATATTATGATCTGATATTCTTCTATCCAATAATGTTATTTTTCACATTTTCTCGTGCACAGATGATTGGACCACTTTCTTTTCCGTCAACGTTTGCTCTTTTTTTTTTTTCAATTTTAATTATCATTGGATGACTCAAAATATTGATCAAATTTATGTGTATGAATGCATATAACTGTTTTGTTCTTAATTTTTCTATTTATTTTTTAATCATTAACTGAAAATAATTTTTATTATCTCATCTGTATGTTCTAAAGTTAAAAATTACTCACATAAAAAGGAATATATGAGATGAGGGGCGAAGAATCAGAATCTAGGCTAGCAAGTAATCTAAGGATTGTAAGTTAAGATTCTTCTTTCGGAACAAGATGCTTCACCTACGCGCTGACGATGATCGTGTACTATACTCCCTCACTAACCCAGTTATTAACAAGGCTTTAATTATTATTAATAAATTGATTGATATAATTGATGGATTATTGACCTGTGTTATATGAACGCAATGAAATTTGAAGGTGGGGGATCCAAGCTCAGACCACAACTGTTGGGAGAGGCCAGAGGACATGGACACAGACAGGACGGTTTACGCCATTGACGCGCCAAATCCAGCTTCTGACATCGCCGGCGAAACAGCGGCGGCACTGGCCGCTTCATCCATGGCGTTCCGGTCGTCGGACCCCGGATATTCCGAGACACTGCTAAGAAATGCGATCAAGGCCTTTCAGTACGCTGATAACTACAGAGGTGCTTACACGGACAATGATCACGTCAGGGACGGTGCTTGCCCTTATTACTGCAACTTTGGAGGCCATCAGGTAAATTAACTTCACTATTAGTTAAATAATGATGCTGCGATAATTATAATTTATTAAACAAAATTGATTATTATCATCGTGCGATTGGGAAATATATATGTGAATAATCAACAAATGAAGACGATACAGGATGAGTTGTTATGGGGAGCGGCATGGCTGAGGAGGGCAACAGGGCACGATGATTTCTTGAACTACGTTCAGTTCAATGCCAAAGCATTCGGTGCTGACGATAACATCAATGAGTTTGGCTGGGAAAACAAGCATGCTGGCCTTAACGTTCTTGTCTCCAAGGTATATTTATTATATACACAAATTCAAATTCTTAATTTATTCACCAAACAACCACGTAGCACCATGATCTTATTTCCTAGGTGTATCCAGAATTCGATATTTTTATATGGTACATCCAATACTCTTATTTTTAGTGTATCTAATACTCTAAAGATTTGGGATGCTAGATGTTCTTAGCAAAATAAGATCAGGGGTTAGGCGTAGCATCCTGATCTTATTTCCTATGTACGTTTAAAATCCGATCTCTTATATGGTATAGATCTTATTTTTTTATGCATCCGCTACCTTAATTTTATTTTTAATGCATCCAATACCCTAAACATTTGGAATGCTGAATGTTCTAGAAAAATAAGATTAGGGTCTTAGGTACATTTTTACCCTAAAATTTTTTCATGAATAGATATGCATCCATTCTATCTATATTCAAATAAAAGTGCATGGGTTTAATTTTCAGGAAGCGGTAGAAGGAAGCTTGTACTCTCTACAATCCTACAGGGAGTCAGCAGAGAGCTTCATGTGCACACTGATACCCGAATCACCAACCTCACAAATCCAATACACTCCTGGAGGTCTCATTTACAGACCTGGAGGCAGCAATTTACAGCATGCCACCTCCCTCTCTTTTCTTCAGCTTGTCTACGCCAATTATCTCTCTCGCTCCTCCCAAACCCTAAATTGTGGGACCCTCTCCGACATCACTCCTCAAGCCCTTCGTCGTATAGCCAAGAGACAAGTTGACTACATCTTAGGCGACAACCCCATGGGACTGTCCTACATGGTCGGATATGGAGATCATTACCCTCAAAGGATTCACCATCGTGGCTCTTCTGTGCCTTCCATTAAAGACCATCCTCAGTTCATTTCATGCAAGGAAGGCTCCGTCTATTACAATTCTTCTAACCCTAACCCTAATCTTCTTGTCGGGGCTCTCGTTGGAGGGCCTGAGGACGATGATGAGTACGAGGATGATCGAGCCAATTTCAGAAAGTCTGAACCCACTACATATATTAATGCTCCTTTTGTCGGCGTTTTAGCGTACTTTGCCGCTCATCCTGACCCTTGATCCATTACTCATGATGACACAATGACGGCATAACTTAAGAACAGGTATTTTTAGGTATTTATTGTCAGGTTCTTCACAAGAAGTCGCGCCTGCGATGTTGATATTGCTTTTTACATGTGATTAAGTGTTTTGATCGAATAAAACCTATTCGGCTATTCACATGTTTTACATATATATATATATATATATATAAATTACTGAAGAACTTGAGTAAATACTTAAAAGAACATTTCTTAAGTCTTGTCTCTATATATATATTTGAGGTTTTGTAAATAAAAGGAGATGCTGTATACAGTAAAGAGGTCTCTCGTCTTGAGAAAAAGGCAAGGGGGAAGAGGCTTGCTTGTGTTGGATATATATCTATATATAGGACATTGTGGTTGTTTGGAGAGCTACTTGAGGTTTTTAATTAAATTACAAATTACACTATGCATGTTGAATGGAAGATTAATTAGTTCGAGGGTCTCATTCTCGATTTTGACAAATTTTTTTTGGGGGGGGGAGGGGTTGAGAGATTGTGTACTTTACAAGTTTGTTAAATATCATTGTATGAATGGACGTGATGATATTGCCTCCCCTCCCTTTCTTTTAAAACTGATATATTTAATTAATTGTCGGTGGCAACTAACTTCATATTTTATATATCTCATCATAACACCTCTCCATCAATTACCTTATTCATTGATTGATTACTCTTAATATATAACATTAATTTATTGTTATTAAAACTAACACGACACCAACTGCAAGAATTTAACCTTTCATTTATCAAACAAATATCATTTTCGAATATTATGTTTGAGTAGTGAAAGAATGTGACGCAGAAAACAGAAAGTCATCAATCGTATGTAACGTACGGGAAAGCTGAACAGCGAGCACGAACGCCATGAATTGCCCAAACCAAATAACGTATTGGACCACCAAATGAGCAATCACCAACTATAGCTGCAGATTGAATTTCAGCACTGGCTACTAGAAAAATCTCTCATTTTTTTTTGTTGATAAAAAGAAAATTTAGATCAGTTAGGTCTCGAGAGCTTAACAGGATCATGACATACCTTAATATTAAGTAATCATGCACATATTTTGATCCACTTTTTTATTTGGTAGAATGAAGATTGAATGCAGTTGGGTTTTGAAGATTTTCTTATGGTTAAAGCATGTCCTATAACAACTGCTTATAAAATGACTCGCTAATAACTAAGATCCTCGCGTAAGGTCATCATAAATGAGCTTTGTTTTAATTTTTGGGCAGTCGGATGTGGCTTCTTGAACAATGTTTTTTTTTTTTTTAAATAAGCACAGTACCTTTTTATTACATATGGACATATAGATTGAACCTTGGATTCCCGAACAAATTAGTTTTTTTTTTCCCTAAAGCATAGGTATTATACTATTGGAGGTAATCCTATTCAAGGCATTGTCAGACACTAAATATGGACACCTCTCCTAGCGGGGATTCAAACCTTGATTTATCAGATTGTGGGAGACTAGCCCTTTCTGCTAGACCTAACCCTCGTTGATCTGAACAAATTAGCTGAGAATTGAGAGAATGCAAAGGTAACATAATGCCCCCGTTGCAGTACTGGGCTTTAGTTTTGTTGTGGGAGCCGTAAGTGGGCTTTTTTGGGTCCATTGATGGTGGGCTCTTGAAAAACAAAAAAGGGAGGTCCTATCCTAATCTTACCTTCTAGTCTAGGCTGATCTTAATAAGAGCCCACGCATGAAAACGATTCCATTGTAACCAGAGGCGGCAAAAAAAAGGAAAAGGAAAAAAGCCCACATAAAGCAACGAAATGAAATTACACAAATTCACAAACAGTAAAATGCCCGTGCAGCCATTTACAACACTACGTTGTTTTATGTACTATGCATATTATGCATATATACTTTCAAATCTGAAATTATATGATGCCATAACTTCATCAATTCTTTGAAATGCCGGGGTAATTTTTGTTATTCTGTACTACTTTTGGTCTATAGAAGAACTAGATAACTAATTTGTAAATTTTAAAAAAATTAATTAAATTAGTTATTTGTTTTTCCTAACATGTCTTTATGAATTTTGCACATTGGAACTAATATTGATGAAAGCTTCTTAACATATGCAATCATTATATGAATTACTTAAAGATGAAATAGATAAATATTGGAAATTGATATTTTATATTTAGAACCAAATTAAATCTCCAACTTACTCTTAATGTATTAAGGATAGGAGGTTTTTATCAAAAAAATGTATTAAGGATAGGAGGTAGCATAATATTTGCTTTTTCCCTCATAAATTCATCAATTAAAACTGCCCAATGTTTTTTTTTTGGCCGAAAAACAAGTCTATTTTATTAATTACAAAAACAAAATCATGTTACTACACATGTTGTTTCATTCAACCTGTTATGCTCCTAGTCCTGTGTTGAGGAGTTTTTTTTTTTTCCCCGTCCATGATGAGTTGTTGTACTTGTACCTTCTCAATCCAAATTAGTCTTCTCATTAATGCTGTGGACTGTGGTTGATTGTGGGCCGATCTTATCATAATATCGTTTATCCATTTTAAAAAATCAGAATATAAATTTGTCGGCAAAAGAACAAGAATATAAGATTGCTTGGTTGGCCGCCCTAGCGAGACTATTAGCCCTCAAGAATTAAAAATTTCCCAACACAGCCAATTCATAAACCGATTTGATTGAGATCTTAAACCACCTAAACCCAACTAGTTCTTCCACTTACTCACAACACTCTCATCACTAAACCAAAAACCAAAACAAGTCCTTTTATATATAACTTTGCTGAGATTATTAAATGCCAAGTTTAATTATCAGTTCTCATTTAATTTACTTCAAGCATTTAAAATAGACCTGCTTGGGGTTGCTAATTTCGTCATGTTAATAGATAGATTTGCTGGTGCTCCAAATAAAACGATTCAGCTTGTCAGAATGGGTGTATTATGAAAAGGATTGGTCTGATAGATCTCTCTAATTAAATCACACACACAGAAATGATCAGTTGGACTTGATAATAAAATATATTGTTTTCAATATAAAAATATATCATTTTTAATGCCAAATTTGACGCTTTCAAAATATAAAGCCTTCTTGAGTAGCTAATAAGTGCTCAACTCATGATTCCGAACGCACATAAGTTCCATTGTCAGATTAGTTGGGAGAAGGCAGAATTAAAATCGTTTAGCAAAAAAAAACGATTTCCCTTTAGATCTGTCACAACATGAAAGTTGTTTTTGCCGTGAACGATTTCGGTGTAAAATTCAACTCCTTCTGAGTATGAATGAGTTTGGGTGCAGCATCCTAATAAATATTTTTAACAATGCAGCATTTCAGTAATTATTTTTACTGTGCATAGAATATGGGTCAAAAGGCCGAAATTTCACCATACATAAAGCACAATTTATAATTTAAAATCAAATGTAAATAAAAGTAACGCTAAAAATATGACTCCTACAAGGTTAGCAGCAACAGGGATTCTACGATGAGATGTTTATTTTATTTTATAATTCTTCCTACGAGGAAATGGATCTATAAAGATTGAAACCGACAAATTAAATACTTCTTCAGTCTTTAATACAAAACTTATTTAACTAATTTGATTAGATTAAAATACTTAAGTGAGTTAGTTAATTATAGAAAATATGTTATGTTTTTCCTAAAATACCATAATCATCTTTTTTAATATCCTCCCTCTCTCTTTTACTTGGTTATGGTTGAGTAAGTATCCATAAGGGTAATTTAAAAAAAAACTGATAAATATAAGAGATAAATCTTATATTTATGACTAAAATTAACTTAACAATTAGCTTCTATATTAAATACCGGAGGAGTATATATATTTAGAGAGAGAGAATTTGATTGCCATTGGTTTGACTTTTGTAGATACCATATAATATAATATAATCGCAGTGCTTAAATGATTTAATTGGGTATGGGTAACGACTAATTAAAATCCTTCGTGACCACTTTTTCCCTTCAAATGATGGTAATGGTCTCCCAATCACATGATGGAATCTTGACTTAATACACACACACATGTAAATAATATTTTATAAAGTTGAAACTGCTGTAATGTGCCAGTGTTAATATGTATTAATTTCAACCAAATAGTTCAAGGGTTCTTGTCAACCATTGTATAGTAGTATTATTACTCCTTCCGTCTCTAATAATAAGATCTTTTTTTGAATGGATTTTTTTTTTTATAAGATCCTCTTAGAGTTTGTCTGAACATTTAATGTATTGTTACCTATTTGACCCTTAATAAATTTCGTATATTATATTTTCTCTCTATTTATTTTATTATTACTCTCTTACATTTATTAGGGGTATATTTGAAAAAAAAATACATTTGTTACATATTACTCCTCCGGTCCTTAATATAGGACCCAATTTTTGAGTTGGTTTTGGTTCTAAATATAAGACCCATTTCTCATATTTATCATTTTTCTCTAAATTACCTCTATGGATACTCCCTCAACTATAATCAAGTAGAAGAGAGAGAGAGGGTATTAAAAAAGATGATTATGGTATTTTAGGAAAAATGTGTCATTTGTTACATATTACTACTATAATTAGGGACAGAGTAGTATATTATAATTAGGGGTATAGAGTAATTACTTTTAACTAATTTTAACTGTTTTCTTAAAAAACACAATTAGGCCAAAAGGTTCTTATAATTAGGGACATAGTAGTATATTATAATTTTCCTGCGACTCTTCAGATTTGTTTCGTAATCAAGCATTAAACCACCTTATGTGCATCGAGGATAAATAATTAACGAGCTTGTTTAATTTTTTTTTTTTGACCGGACGAGCTTGTTTAATTTATTACATATCAGAAACATGTTTTCCCGAGCCTAATGTGCGTTTTATACTAATTTATGTCAGCAAAATACTTTGATTTTATGGATATTATAATATAATCCAGGTCTCATTTTTTTATGGATTGTTTGCAAAAGTTACCACCATCTAAATAATTTGGTACTCCCTTCATTATAGTCTCACATTTATATATGAGCTTATTTCAAACATTATAAATATATTGTGTAAGTTGAAACAAAATTTTTATATCATATACTGTGAATTACGTAAAAAAGTTATTTCTAAAAAATCTTACCGCCATTTCAAATAACCACACACACACACACACACAAACACATACACACACGCACATATATATAGATTGACGTATGAATCTTGCTTAATGGTTATTTGAATGTTTTACTTTTTTTTCTTAAATATTAAATAATTTATTGTTAACACAATCTAAATTTAGGAAGTAATTATTTAACTTTAAAAATTTGCCATGCATTTCGAGCTAATAAATTATGGTGTAGGGGCCGTACGTCATGCATAATAAAAACAAAAAGAAATATATAAAATATAAAGTGATATATTTGCAGTTATGATCATGTACTTCAATTCTCATTCATTCAACTGCTTGAGTTAGATAACAATTAACAAGGGATAATCTTTACATTTTAAAGATTTTAAAGCATTCAATAAATTTCAACAATTAAATAAATATTTATCATTCCCTTTTTGTTATTTCCCTATTTTAGGTTTACTTCAAATGACTGTTCCGTCGTCGTCGTGAACTGAGATCAAATGACCGTTAGAAGCCAGAACGTAAAATCCTGCAGCGCATTTATCTTCGCTAACATCCTCGTGTGACCGTTTACTAACGGTGTTCATGATCAACCGCCAACCCTCCGACGTGGAAAATAAATTTTTTATTTGTTTTTTCTGTGCCGATAAAACAAAGAACATATTTTTGGCCACAAAAGAAAATGGAAATGGCTGTTGGATTTGGATCTTCGCTTCTCCCACCACTGCGAGGGGAAAACGAAATAAATATACAGAAAATAGAAACTTCAACGACGTTGTCATTTGTCATTGACACTCCTCGCTGGCTTCAGATTTACACGGACCTGTTTGGTGTTGGTCCATTTTCACACTGCGAGAGAGAGAGTGCAATCGACGACTCTCTCTCTCACACATGATCTTATTGTCGATTTTTGTAGTTTTCGTTTTCTCTTCAGATCGTGAATGGTGAAGTTTTCTTCAGGTACTGATTTTTCTTTCCCCTTTTTCCTGTTGTCACTTTATTCCCATTTACAGAAGCCTTCTGCATTTCCGTCTTTCCTTTGAAGCTACGTCTCGCAGATTATTACCCGTCGTTAGAATGGTTTGTGTGAAGAGTGGATTAAGCTTATAGAGAAAGTTCAGAGTTCTGACGGTCTTTTGGTCATGTGCGACTCATGTTTTTCCCTCCTGGACTGCTAAATATTAGGGGGCGTGATAATGAATGTTGAAGAAAACTAGCGGGATTAATGCGTGGAATCTAACTTTCTGGTCCTTGTACCGGCGTAATTACTCATTTTCGAATCGATTGATCATAGCCATTGTGGTCCAGTATTCAATTGTGTAGTTTTCTATGAGGAAAAAAAAAAATATTTGTATCTGATTTTGGTCGAGAGATCACGATGAACGCTGTTTGAGAAGCGAAACGTGCGTCGCAGAGGATTCAGATTCCTGAAGCAAGTGCTCTGTGAATTTTGTTCCAGTGATTTCCGCCGAATGTGTCGTGGAAACTGGGAAGGTAAATTCCTGTAATTTCTGCGTCTAACATCACGCTTCTGAAATGTCTATGATTGTGAGAGAGACAAAGAGAGCTACGGTGAAAAGGATCGTCCTGTTTTTTAGTCACCAGCGTGCAGATATACGTTAAATTGGATTTACTTCGTTCTCAAGCATTGTGGGCCGCCATCATGGACATTTTTTTCCCTTTCATTTCAGTTGGTTGAAGGAAGGATATTAATTGGAGACCATACTTTTTACATTTTTGTGACCTGCCATTGCTTTCTATCCCTTTTCATCCGGGGCTCATCTCATCTTTCTTTCTTCATTCTTCCCTCTTTTTACAAGCAAAAGAGACCAGCGTATGCTATAATCACAACGGAACCATGATTGGTTCTTTTTTTTCTTCTTAATTTTTGAAAAAGAGGTTTTGGATCGTGACATTATGCCGGCGACAGATAATTTGTTATTGACAGAAACGTAATTGGTTGGCATTCTGTTTCACCTTTCTTTTTCCTTCTGGTTGTTGGATGCAAAGCAAGGTTAGCTTGTCGTCCCCGTTGTTGCCTCGCTTTTGTGTGTGTGTGTGTGTGTGGATCCATTATTAGAATCTTGTTCATAATTTCAACCCAAAAAGAAGCGGAAAAAAGAAAAGAAAAGAATACTGTTCATGACTTTCAAATGAACTGCTAAGTATTTACGTGAACTGTCAGGGACTCTTTTTCTCTCTTAATGTCTTGCATTTTAGGAAAGCAACTAACTTTTGGATTTTGAGGTCACGGGCATGTTCGGATAACCTTGTGAACCGAATTCTGAAGAACAATAGGTAAAAAGTGAGCAATGGGGTCTATTGGCGGGGAGGAGCTGGTCAAATGGGAGAAGATGCAAGGACCGACTGGTCGTGAAGAGAAGATTCTCGTGTTAGTGAGGTTGCGGCCTTTGAGTGAGAAGGAAACCACCGCTAACGAAGTAGCAGACTGGGAATGCATCAATGATACCACCATCTTGTACCGGAACACCCTGCGGGAGGGCTCCACTTTTCCAAGTGCCCACACCTTTGGTAAGCCAATGTCTCTAATGACTTCTCATTGGCAAGTTTGTGTTGCCACTAAATCTGAATTATATAGTATCATATTTACCCACAAGAATTGGGATCTCACAATGTGGGTCTGGTTTATCAAACATGTTTTATTTTTCTAAAAGATTACTTTCTCTTATATGGAGAACAAGATCTTGAGCAGTTCAATATTCCGTAGCTTTGGAAAACCTTTTTGTTTTCGGAAATGAGCTCTTCCGCTTAGCTTCCCGGGGCCAACTTCCGAAAGGCTTCAAACCATGTGGTGATTCTTTCTAATTTTGTTTTAGATTCAAGCCACGTCAATTACCAAAGCGTCAATTCCTTCTATTACCACATTGACTTTGAATTTTAATCTGAGATAACTTGAAAAGCATATTGGGTTGTTTTGTTAAAGGATAATGTTTAGAAGCATTTCTAATTTTAGAATGCACTTGTACCGATGGTCCATTTATCATAGACAGAATGTTTCTGAATAATTGGTCTATGTCTGGCGGTAGACAGAGTATTTCGCGGTGACTGCCCCACAAAGCAGGTATACGAGGAAGGAGCCAAAGAAATTGCTCTTTCAGTTGTTAATGGAATTAACTGTAAGTATAAATTGTTTTATCGGCTGGTTTCTTTCTTATGAGTTATGACCCACTTTCAAGGGGACCATCTTAACGCTTTTAACTAATGCATGAGTCTGTATATTTCTTTAGCAACTATATTTGCGTATGGACAAACGAGTAGCGGGAAGACATACACCATGGTTGGAATAACTGAGTATGCTGTAGCAGATATATTTAACTACATAAGTAAGGTAATGAGACTACTAATCAATTGACCTGCCTGTTTGGTTCTTCAATATAGTTATTCATCGAAGTCATGTCAACACGGGTTGATCTTTCTTTTATAGCACGAAGAAAGAGCATTTGTGGTGAAGTTCTCAGCAATTGAAATTTACAATGAAATTGTTAGAGACCTCCTAAGCGCGGACAACAGCACACTTAGACTGCGTGATGACCCTGAGGTGAATATTTTTTATTTGTTTTATTGGAACGTAATTGATCAATGTGCACATATGAAGGTTCTCATGGTCTCTACTTCTTATCAGAAAGGAACCATTGTAGAGAAACTTACTGAGGAGACTCTACGGGACTGGGGACATTTGAAAGAGCTCCTATCCTTTTGTGAAGGTAAGGGAATATGGCTAAACTTTTTGTTCTAGGGTGAATCGTACAATTGCATTGATTACTATATTATTGCAGCTCAAAGACAGGTGGGAGAGACTTACCTGAACGAAAAGAGTTCTAGATCTCACCAAATCATCAGACTGGTTTGTGCCCTTGTCGTTTATGGCTCAAAACTATGCTTTAGATTTTTCTTACTCGTATCTTAATAATACATTTGCAAACTTGCAGACAATTGAAAGTTCTGCTCGAGAATTCTTGGGTAAAGGCAACTGTGCCACCCTATCAGCTTCTGTGGTATGCCCACATTCTCTTTATCCATGCTTGTTCAAGAAATGGTTCTTGTAGATTTTAGATATATTAAATTTGTTTTGTTTCTGTGCAGAATTTTGTTGATTTGGCAGGGAGTGAGCGTGCATCTCAGGCGTTATCAGCTGGCACAAGATTGAAAGAAGGTTGTCACATAAATCGGAGTTTACTTACTCTTGGAACTGTCATTCGTAAGCTTAGGTTGTCTACCTCTTCCTTAATTTGTATCTGCTTTAATTTCACTGTCTGCTGTCGGTGAAACTCTGGTGATTAAGTTGTCTCGAGTGTTCTGCTCTGCTTGCGTGAAATTTACTGACAATATCATGACAACAGGATAGCCTTTTTCTTATATGCTATTGGCGATTGAATTTCTTTCTGGGAGGGGGGTAACTAATTTATGTAATGTCAATTTCACTCTTGGGTAAAAAACGTGACAGAAGCAAAGAGAGATTATTCTTTGTTTACCGAAAAAAGAGAGAGATTATTCTTTATACTCTGACGAATTAAATGTGTTTCCATTAGAAAACATAATTGATAGAGACACTATTTTCCTTTTTCAGAAAACTATTCATATGTTTTTGTTGACCTAACGTGATTGAACGCAGTAAGGGTAGACATGGACACATCAATTACCGAGATTCCAAGTTAACGCGCCTACTGCAGCCTTGCTTAGGTGGCAATGCTAGAACAGCCGTCATTTGCACTTTGAGCCCCGCGAGGAGCCACGTTGAGCAGACTAGAAACACACTTCTTTTTGCCTGTTGTGCTAAAGAAGTGACCACCAAAGCGCAGGTTAATGTAGTGATGTCTGATAAGGCCTTGGTCAAGCAATTGCAAAAAGAGGTGGCCAGATTGGAGAGCGAGTTGAGAGCACCAGCTCCTCCTACTGCCAGCTGTGATCATGCGGCATTGCTGAGAAAGAAAGATCTCCAAATAGAGAAGGTCATTATTTTCTATTTGAAATCTAAATAGAAGAGGACTCAAGATTGCTTGATGATATCTGGCCATAACAAATAAGGACAGCTTTTGAAAAGCTAATCACAACATTTTGGATAGTGAATCCTAATTGAGACTAGTTAATACTGATAAGCTTAGACGAAGAAATAAACGTGAGTATACGTCATAATGAATCCAAGATTCCACAATCTCATTGGAGCTAAAACAAAATATGAGCACATTCTCAGTAATATTTTACATGTCCAGTACCTGATAGTTGTAATTGTTACGGTGAAATATGTAACGCTACTTTACAAGTCCAAAACAGCTAGGTTCTTAGTAATATTTATGATTAGAGATACATTTTTTAGGCACATCCATGATATAATTTCCTTTGAATGCTGATGATATGGCTTTTAAATTTCAGATGGAGAAGAAGATCAGGGAGCTAACTCAGCAGCTTGAGCTTGCACAATCAAGGATTGAGGATTTGCTTGGCATGATTGATAATGATCAGAAATCCGGAAAAGTAATCATTTCCTGATTTCTGAAATGTTTATAATGCGTGAAAGGTCTTGCTTTAAATGTGGAATCTTATTTTATTTCCATTCAGGCTGGCATTGATAGTCCTCAACATATGCTGGGAGGGGAGGATGAGTGGGAAGATGACTATTCAGTGCGAGAGTCATTAGGCATTTCCACTCCTGCTCATCCAGATGGCCGCATTAGAGAGCTCAGCAATCCTCACCATAACAACGGAGACTGTGGAAGTAATCCCGAGCAGCCCTATCACCACTCTGAAGGGACTGAACATCATTCACGCTCTGATGGTAACTTTTTCTTCTCTGCTTTTAGTAATCAACCGGGGAAAAAAAGTATGGTATTCTCAGAGCTTAACAGTATCAAATCATTATATATTTGTTGTTTTTCCTTCAGAGTTTCCCGATCAGTTCTGCAAAGAAGTTCAATGTGTCGAGAAGGAAGATTCAAATAGACAGAACTCAGAATATCTTAATCCATCAAGAAGTGAAAATGGGGGTTTAGAATTACCAATGTCTGAAGAAGTAATTGCACCGGGCCAGAAAGAGTCAACCTCTGTGAATAAAGATAGGGAAGCCAATCAGGTCCATGATAGTCCTGCGCCTGCAAATGGTGCTGCAGAGCAGAGACTCCGTGATGTACAAATGACCGTTGATTCTCCTGTATGCCCACAACCTGATAGTCAATCTCCACGGGCCACTTTGCCAAATATGTCAAATTTAAGGAACTTAAACTTATCCAGGAGCTGGAGTTGTAGGGAATATTTCATGACTGGTTCTCTAGAGAGTGCAGGAGAGTTAGAAAGCACTCCTGCCAATGGGATTGAGAAAGGATTTCCAGGAAGACCCGAAAGATTTCGGAGAAACCTTCTTCATTTAAGGCTTGATCCCGTCACAAGGTTGTCCAGGGATGGTTCTCTGTCTACTGTTGGAAGTCCTTGCCTAGACAGCATGAGAACACCTGGCAATGAGGGTATTACTAGCATACGAACTTTTGTTGCTGGGATGAAGGAAATGGTGAAGCTTGAGTATGAGAAGCAACTTGTTGATGGTCAGGTGCGACAAAATCAATTTTCAATCGCATTTTCTTGGGGTGACAATTCAATCGCAATCTTTATTATTAAATTTGATGAAAAGAAAAACTGGTCTATTTATTCTTCTTCTCTTATCCCTTTTCTTTTAATTCCCCTTTTTTTTTTGGGGGGGGGGGTGGGAGGAATATTTATGCAATGAAGATATGTTATTTATAGCTTTATGAGCTTTAAAAACTGCAATTTGTTATGTTTTCTTCTGTAACTAGTCAGTACTCGGTGGCCCGTGCATATATATGCACGAGGAGTGTAAAAGTTTGTCCTTCAAATTGTTAATTCCTGTACTCTTTAATTTGATGATTATTTTAAGGGTCAGACAACAAGATTTTATTTTAGATTCACCATTAATTATTCTTGTGCATAAATTATTTAAATCAGACAAGGAGATTTTGCAGCAAATAGTGGGAGAGTTTTTAACTTCTACTTTACTTAGACATGCACATTGATCGATAGTTGCGGCAGACATGGAATATAGTCCTCACAATTATATTTTTATCTGGTAGCTTGTTTTAGCTGCTACACTTAATGTTGCGTTTGCTGCTTAAAGCACTCGTTTGTCTGTTCAGACCCTTCTGCTATCCCTAAATTCTACTTTCTGAATTGTAGGGCAAGGAAACAGAGAGGGGTGCTTCTACATTAGAGAAGAACGTGAAAGAGGTAGGTATAGATTCAATGCTTGAGGCACCTGGAACTCCGTTGAATTGGACCCTGCAATTCGAGAGGCAGCAAAAGGAGATAGTAGAACTTTGGCACACTTGCCACGTATCATTGATCCACAGAACCTACTTCTTTCTTCTGTTCAGCGGTGATCCCTCAGACTCCATTTACATGGAGGTAGAGCTTCGAAGACTAGCCTTCCTGAAAGAAACATTTTCAAAGGGGTCTGAGAAGGATAGTCAGAAAGACACATTAGCTTCAAGGTGCTGTCTTAATTTCTCTTTTTCACGTGCACATTTACTTGAGAATCTCCTACATTTGGTTTAATTACACACAAGGACATGTCTAGTTGAAAATTTTCGATCTGACCGAGTTATACTTCTTTTCCACGTAATGGCAAATCTTATGATGCTGAATTAAAGTAGTTTTATCTTGGGACGCAGCATGAAGACTCTTCGGCGTGAGAGGGAAGCACTGGTGAAGCTGATGCAGAAAAGGCTTACTGAGGAAGAAAGGGAAGACCTATACGAGAAGTGGGGCATTGCACTGGAATCAAAACGCAGGAGAGTGCAGCTAGTAAACCTTTTGTGGAGCAACACTAACATTACTCTCGCTAAAGAGAGTGCAAATTTAATTGCCAAGTTGTTGAAGTTCTCAGAGAAGGGTAAGGCACTGAAGGAGATGTTTGGCCTCAGCTTCACACCCCGTTACTCTAAAAGGAGGTCTTTTTCCTGGATTACTAGCAAACCACCACTTTTATAGGCCTTTTTTTTTTAACTCTTATAAATTTGGGGGATAGTCCTCATGTTTTATGTACAGTCTGACAGCACTTTCTATCAGAGTGCCCATTGGACATGGATTTGTCTGAGTTTCTACCTAATTACACACAAAAAATTACTAAACCGGACTTCTGTAAGTCCTTAAAAGATCAATTGCGAAGGGATTCATTCAATACAGGAGCTTTTTGAGTGGTTTTTTTTTCCCTCCATTAAGTGCTGTACCGATTGGGATAGTGAATCATTGTTATGTTTTCCCCACTTCTATGGGTACAGAATCATTATTATAAATGATAATCATAATCTCTAGCCAGAAACCAGAAGTCTCCTATAGAGGAGGCCTTGAATTTCATATATAAAATTTACGGTCTAGAATTCGAAAGTGCAAATTTTGAGAGGTCTGAAGAGATTTTTTTTTTGTGAGTTTATAAAAATATGTTCACAATGAATATTCCAAGACACTAATACATGATAGTTTAAATTTCTGGAAAAAGCAGAATTTTTTATATTATAATACAATAATTCTAGAAATTCGTTTTAACTTCACAAAAGCATAGGTAATACCTTTATAAATCTATAATGGCATCTTGGGATGTATGAATTTTATCATAATTACGAAACACTCAAAAATAAGCAGTAACAATTTTCAAAATCTTTTTTTTTTCACTTCAAAAAATTCAAGTGATGACCTTTGGAGAGGAAATTGAAGTGATATTATTTTTCCTATTAATGACAAAATTTAAATCTTCTGAGCCTTAATCTATAAGGTCTTTCACTTTTTATTTGAGGAATACAGTGTCGCACACTAAACCAACTGGATAGTGAGTCAACAAATGAAGTCTATTATTTGATCAAAAGATGAATGGCATCATCCTTTTGCCCCGGTTTCTTTCTTCTTCTTTCTTTTTTTTGTAAATGATGAATGATATCCTTCAATGAGTGGACTGCGTAGGAGACTTAAGCTATTGGGCCTCTATACCTAAACCCAAAATAAGGGTTCATTAGAACAGTCCCGATGAGATACGGCGTCGTTTGATGGCCCTGCCGCGGCACTAGAAATGCACTGGCGAGGTTCCTGGTTCTCCTTCCTCACCTGAGTGTGGAAAAGCCGATCAGTGGAAGCGAGAGGGGGAAATGAGCATCACATCGACGGCAGCGTACCTTGCTCGGCGAGCTGCGCAGAAGGAGAGGGTTCGGATCCTCTACCGCCGCGCCCTTAAAGACACCCTCACCTGGGCTGTCCATCGCCACCTCTTTTACGACGACGTACTGTCCTTTTTACCGATCTCTCTCATTTTAAATTCCAATTTCCAGCTCAATCTTTCAATGTTCTCATTCTATTCTATTTATCTATTCCAGGCTAATAACCTCCGAGAAAGGTTCGAAGCAAATAAACATGTGGTTCGTTTCCTTGATTCCCCCTTTTCACTTTCTGTAAAATTTTGGTCGTGGTGGAATATATTTCCTAGATTTGTTCGGGAACATAGTGCAAATAAGCTATGAAATTTTGTTTCGATTAGCTATCGGAAGAATTATCTTTTTGATTATTGGCTACAAAATTTTCGCTTGACGAGGGTAAGATGGTGCGGAAGAGGGAATGTGTTTCCTTTGGTATGATTTACATATGTTATGATGTGAAAGTGGGTAATGCGACAGAAGAATGATTGGCTCTGATATTAAGAGGACTGTCTAGCCATTAGGAAAAGAAAGGAAGCATGCATTTTGTCACCCATACTCTTTTTGGTCAAAGAGAGGTTCTTCTGTTGTTGTATTCTTTCCGTACTCAATTGTATTCACTCATTTCTCCATCCTCTGATTTTGGCTGCATTTTGTTTCGGTTGGATACTTGTAGGAAGACCTTGATACTATCGATAGACTGATAGAAGATGCTGAGGCAACCTACAATAAGTGGCGGCACCCTGACCCTTATATTGGTAAACATGTCATCAAACTTGCATTACTTTCTGAGCTATAACGGGTGGTTGTGATAGTGCTTGTTTTAGGACAATATGTTGCCATGATTTTCTTTAATTCTAGTTGATACCTCCTTCAAGCATAATCATAAGCATCCCTACTCTTGTTTGGAGGATTATTAGGGAATGAGGAACCTTAAAAGGCGCTTCAAAGAGTTGAGTGGACTGCCATGATAATATTTTTTTCATTATCATTATGTCACTAAAACACAACCACCAATTACGTAAAAATAGGCCACATTACTTGATAAATGCCATATGCCAAAGGTGCCCTGCCTGCGGAAAGCATTGACACAAAAGCTAGTTTTTTGCTCTTCTTTTGTCGTTCTGGGCTGAGGTTATTTTATGTGTGCCTTTGCTTGAGAATGTGAAGTATGTGGGTGGTCCTTCTCACTGAATGATGACTAAGGAACTGAGGATTTGTATACTGAAATGATCATTATGAATTAGGCTTTCTAGGATAAATTTGTGGATTGTGGAAATGTAAAGAGATGACCAGTTTTCAGGTGGTAGGATCTGAAATTAGGGCTAGTCTACTTACTGAGTTCTGCATTGTAAACGGTACCTGCAGGCATAATGATGTGCTTAAATCCTCAAATACGTCAATTTTTAAGATTTGGAGTCTAAGATTTATATTGAGATGTCTTCACTCCTTTTTCTTCTTCAACAAATGCAACATCATTATATAAGCATTGCTCAGTTTTGTTTTCATCTTACCAAGAGCACAAGAAAAAGATGACGTCTCCCTCTCTCTTGCTTTTGATATTGTTAATGAATATTAAATCATTTGATATAGATTGCCCAAGAGTCTGTCAAGTAAATATCCAGTTGTAGCATTTGCAGAATCACTTGAATTAGGATTGTGGTTCCTTTATTTATATGCAGCATCAGTTACACCTAGACTAAAGTAGTTTTTGTGTCACCCTTATAGTGGAGCTACATGTGAAGTGCGATGGCATAGTGCCAAGAGCTGGCGCATTGAGCTACCAGCTTTAGCACAAACTCTGGTGTGCAACGAATAACTATGCCTGCATTTGGATTTGATAGGTTTTAAAAAGAACTTCGAATGAATGATTTGGTATGATGAATTCAATGTGCTGTTTGCTAAGAATAACAAGCTTCACATAACATAGAAAATTAAAGAATTATATGTACTCATGTACCCATGTATCGGATGTCTGCAAATTAAAAAGAAAAGAAAGAAAAAGTTAAGAGATAGTTATTTTCTTGGTGTGCCTTTATTCTTGTGTATGAATGCAGCCTAAATTTCTGTTCTACTTGCACTTTGTCATCCCCAGGGACAAAAATGTAAGGATGAATAGAGTAATTACTGAATAAAGCTATTAACCCTTAATATTATTAATCCATTGAATATTAACTAGTAAGTATAGTCGGATATATTGCTCTCAACTGAGACAAAACCAAGCCAACGGCATTGCATTTCTTGTTATTTGTTGCAATCAATCACTAACCCCCTTTTCTCATATTTTCTGATTTATACTAATGATAGTTCCTTGGGCTCCTGGCGGTTCAAAGTTTACTCGTAACCCAACTCCACCTGAAGGGGTAAGTCATTATGGTTATGTACTAATAAGTTTTTCTGTGTATTGTTTTTCATGACTTATGCTTGATGTGATGATTAGAACACACACATGGATAACTCATCGAAGTTGACAACTAAATGCATTTGGTGGATGGCACAAGAATGATTAAATATTAAAACACAATAAAACAGAGAAGGTCAAGTGATCTATTTTGGCGTAGATTTAGTGTGGATCTTACCATCCCCTACGCTCCACTTTTATAATTGCTGTTGGAGCAATTATCTCCATTTACCTTTAAATCCTTCAATATGTTATTGCCCATGCGTACAGATACAGAATAGAACATCGTGGATGCACTAATCAATAAATTCATTTGCCTTTATGGTAAAGATTGCAAATTCAGTGAACGTATCATTCTTTAAATTCCTCTTTTCTGTATTGAACAAATTGCCTGTCAACAATTCAGCATTTATAGGAGACAAAATAATTAAAATATTGTAAGGAATGTGGAAAAACAAAACATTCTTCGCTCTAGAGTGAGTTAGTTATTCGTTCTGTTTGTTGCTGATGAGTTCCTTTAAATTTGCACTTATACAGCTTCGGTTTGAGCTTATTTGTGGCTGAATTTGATAATCTGTTGTTGATGCAGATTGAGATAATATATGATTATGGTCGTGAAGACAATAACTGAAACTGTCATTTTCTGTGCAATGAATAAAGGTCAGCAGCCAAATTGTTCTTTTACTAAACTAATTCCCGTGCCCTGACTACACAATTATTCATGAAGCATGTATTAGTTCCCCCCTGCTTGGATGAAAAGCATGGACATATGGTGTATGAGCACTGAGTCTTATCCTTTGTGGCATTTTCAATCATGTCTCCTGCTCATGGCTTTTTAAAGTTTTATGTATAAACTATTTTGTCAGGTGGACGGTATATTCGGTGCATAGCTTTCCCTTCTCCCCGCCATTCACATTGGGAGAAACGACCCATTTTACTTCATATTTTTAAAAGTGTAATTTTAATTAATTATGCAGATAAAAATTATCCAGACTTGCGAGAAGGGAGAACGCCATGGCAGGCTTTGTTTGTTACTTGGAGCATAATTGCTATGTCGTTGTCATTTCATCATTGTTACAATGGCTTGTTATGTTGCTGGATTTGGATTAATCCCTGAATTTGACGGCAAGTTATGTGCATACAATTTTCTTTTTCATCTTATTATTCTTTTTTCCCACTTTTATTTTATCAAAAGGGAGCCGGTCTATGGCAAATTATATGTTACGTCCCATGCGGGTCTAACAAGTTCTGATCTCCCAATCCCTGATAATCAAGGCTTCCGATATCTGAAATGAGATCCTCATACGCGTTTCCGTTTGTCTTATTCTGAATTTCTAGCAATGTTAACCAGTAGCAACTAGTTTTTGCTGCTACTCTGCTCGGCCTCTTGGAGCTTCAAAGATGTTAATATACGGATGCAGCTCATGAAATTTTGATGTCCGAGGTGATTGACAGATCATGTTAACATGTATTCCTACAGGTTATAATATAGGATTAGCCACGTATCTTGTAATAATTAAGTAATAACATCTAGCAATAATTGATGCTATTGTGTTAATTTTAAATGTCAACTCATTAGAATATTATTTTGGGGGCATTTGAAATGTTTAGCTCATAGAATGCCTTGAAAAGATAAAAGGAAAATGGAGAAAGCAAAATTGATGCATTACTTGCCATTTATAAGAAATCGCGTTACTTGTTTATAGACAATGAAACCAATATAGGATATAAACATGTCATAGGACTTGGAGGAAATTAGTACATACAAGGACACGGAGCCTATAGAAACAGATCTTCTTCAATTAAGGTCGTAATGAAAGAGGATACTTAATAAATCCTCTCAAGTTTATGCGTGATTAAAGGTTCAAACAATTATTTGCAAAGAAACTTGGGATTCAAGAGATTATTTACATTCAAAAAATTACCAGATGTATCATGCTTCTTCCACGAATAGAATTACTAACAAGGTCAAGAACTGTTTATACAAAATTAGAAGTTTGAAAATTTATTAGCAAGATGATGATTACAAAAATTTCATACATGCATATAAGCAACCTAAAATTTAAAAAGATATAGATATTTTTACCTATTTTCAGTTTAATTGTAACTCTTCCAGATGGATTTCTAAAGCAACAAGGGAAATATAAATTTGATTAAAACTCAGTAACCTTGAAACTAGAAGCTTCGCAAAATGTGTCGGCAAACAACTTATCACTCTTGGTCGTGGTTTCAAGTCCGCGCTCTTTATTTCAAACCAGGCTAAAGGGGGATGCCAATTGCATATGAATGACGATATTTTTCCTTGTGCTTGAAGCAATATCTTGGCAACAAACAAGAGCTTCGTGAAATTGCTAGACTTGATCCACACCATACATCTGACGAATCTTCATTAATAAGCGGTAACACATGCCAGATTCTAAACCCAGTTAAAATGGATTTTCCATAAATAACACCCATTTGGTCCTTAATATAAGACCTATTTAACTAATTTGATTAGATTAAGGAAGTTAGGTAAGTTAGTTAATCATAAGAAATATGACACGTTTTTCCTAAAATACCATAATCATCTTTCTTAATACTCCTCTTCCTCTTATACTTGATTATGGTTGAGGGAGTATCCATATGAGTAACTTAGATAAAATTGATAAATATAAGAAATGAATCTTATATTTAGGACCAAAACCAACTCAACAATTAGGTCCTATATTAAAAACCGAAGGAGTAATCAATAATTTTTATAGAATGAAAAATAGAAAGCACTGTGATACCTTTTTTAAAGGGAAAAGGAAAAACCAAATTAAGTGCCTAGCATTTGTACAGATATCTTACTTGGATTAAACTTCGCATACAAAACACACCATCCACCCCGGGGGCCCAAAAACAAAAAGGGGAGAGGGGGGGGTCCCTCCATGGCTAGATGCATCAAACTATTACATTCCAAGTCTAAACTGCAACGTCGAGAGTAAATATTGACTCTATGTACGATATAAATTTCTGTAGAAGTCCCAACCTGGCAACTCAAATTACTCTCTCATCTAACACAGAAACTCCAGATTTTGACCACTCAGCCTCAAATTCAATGATTTCTAACGGTGTAAGATTTAAAGATAGGATTCCTTCACATTATTTTGGTGCTAAGTACTAACTACAGCTACAAATTAAAGTCAATGAGTGTCTCAACTCAAGTTGCTGCTAACGAAGGAATGCCACCTATGATATCCCCATTACATAAAACCATTCAGGAACCCAGTTTCTTGACGCATTCTTGGCAGTATTTGGTGAAGGAAAATGCGGATACGAAGCCAGATGTTCTTTACTTATTAATCTCATTTAACTTCACATGTTTATGTGCAGCCTTAAAGATTATGTAATCTCATGTGTATACTTCTTACTCCACTAAAACCAGAAAAAGAGAGGAGAAAACGTATCAATCCTAAGTTACAAAGGACAGGAAAAAAAAAACTGAATCGTGATGATAATTAAGTTCACAATCAAACAGAGCATCACGAAACTGCTATCAGTATTCCGTATAGTATAAATTAAGGGTGAATGTCCATTTATAAAGGCCAGTGAAGGAAGAGCCATAACATCCACTATGAAAGTCGAAGCACATGTAACAGTAGTTGGGTGAATTCAAACAGAAACCAGTATTCAGTAATAAATGGTAAAGGGAGCATGAATCAGAGATTTATGAAGTCTAATCCCTAGCACCAAAGGCCCAAAATTATGAGCTAGAAAACTCTTAGAATTCAAAATCAGATAAGCTTGAATGGAAGAGGCCAAGGAGTAGACCTGGGAACCTCGACCTTGTCTTTAATGCGCTCGATCATCTTCTCCCTCTTAGGCCTAGCGTTGCCATATGATCCCTTGAATCTCTTCCCTCGCTTCGTCTTTTTGTCCCCGCGCCCGCACAACACCGGCAACGGAATAGCTCCTCCACAGGACGGCGCCGCAGGAGAAGTCGCCGTCGAGGTCGGCCGCGGTGTCATCATAACCCGCCACAATACTCCGCCGGATCTCTGCATCGCACCTGTTGCCATGGTTCTAGCTGACTCGCGCTCCAGTGGCTAAACCCCGAGAGCAGAACAGGAGGGAAGGGGAAACGGGAATCGCTGATGGGTAACATGGGCTGGGCTTTGCTTTGAAACTGGGCCTATGGGCTATACGGGCCATGATTGGTCCTTTGGTCTGGGCTTTGCTTTCAAACTGGGCCTATCAGCTATACAGGCCCAATAGTCGCTGTCTTAACATTGGCTAGTGAGGCCACGGTCCAGTTTGATATTTGAAGCCGCCATCTGATTGTTTAAAATAATTATTTGCTCAAAAAAAAAAAAAGATTGTTTAAAATAATTAATGACACGGGGGCCCACATCTTTGAACGGCGTCTTGTGCCTTTTGGCAGATTCCGGATCCAAGGCACTAATAAAAGCTCTAGATATGGATCTATTGCAGTGGCCGATATTGTATGTTACTTTTGTAAAAGTAACACTTTTATAGTATTTATATAATAATGGATATTCCGTTCATAATTTGGGATTTCAAATAATATGAATGGTTTGAAAAATTTATAAATTTAAAAAGAAAAATAAATTGATATCTTTTATTTATGATCAAAGTAAACATCCTAATTAGTTTTTAGATTTGAGATCAAAAGAAGTATATATTTTAAATTGGATGATTTTTAGCAACATGGAAAAAAAAAGAAACTACGGCGAATTCAAACCCCTAATGCTATACCTCGCGATCTTGGGAGGATTTTCCCCAAGAGTGGCTTCCCTCTGCTACTTGTTTGGTTCTTTGACTGCCCACTGCTTGAAGTGACGCCGTTTTGTAGCTGTTTCCTTTTTTTCTTCCTTACATTACAATTAGGTGAGGTTGCGCTAAGAAAGAGAATGGGAGAGGGGGCTATTCTCCTTTTTAGGAAGTTAGTTGTAGTTGGGATCCACTCAATAGGAATAAAAAATATTTATAAAATACTACTAAATAAAAATTAATAGAAATGATTTTGAAGAGAAAATAAAATTAAATGAAAGAAAAATTAAAATAAATAAAATGATTTTATAGATACAAAGTATTTTTATATTTTTAAAATAAAAATTAGTAAAAGAATACTCCTCTCTAGCCCTATTTATTATAAGGCACTTCAAGTTAAGAAAAACCTTAAATTGTATTAATTATCTATTAAAATACACTAACTCTTTAACTTTATACCTATTTGATATATATTTAAAAATATATCTATATTATAATAAATGAAGGATAAAATAATATATTCATACTAAAAATTTAATAAAGCGACCTATAAATAAGAATAGGAAAAATCATCTCTTTTTGCCTTATAAATAAAATCAAAAGAGTAAAGAGTTAACTTTCATCGTGCACTTTAAAGTATTTTTTAATAACATTTAATATTTCAAAGTAATTTTTGTGCATCTAAAATTCTTAAAATTTTTTTTAGTAATTATCAGTATCTAAAGTAATTTTTGGTGGTAATTTTGCCATTGAAATATTTTCTAAGTAGCAATGAGCACCCTAAATTTAGAATACTAAGTTCTTCTGAAAAAATACTTTAGTATGTTAAATGCATAAAAATATTATAAAACACTGAATGCTATTAAAAAAAATACTATAAGGTGTTAGATAGAACTTAACTCTTTGTCTTTTACTAATTTTTATTTAGAAATACAGAAATATTTTGTATCTACAAAATCATTTTATTTATTTTAATTTTTCTTTCATTTAATTTTATTTTCTCTTCAAAATCATTTCTATTTACTTTTATTGAGGAGTATTTAGTAAACATTTTTTTTATTCCTTTTGGGTGGACCCCAACCACGACCGACTTTCCAAAAATTAGAATATTCTCCTCTCCCATTCTCTCTCTTGGCGCAACCTCACCTATGGAAATGTGAGGAAGAAAAGAAGAAAATCAGCTACAAAACGGCGTCACTTCAAGCAGCGGACCACGTAGTGCAGAGAAGCCACTCCCATTTTCCCTAACCACCATCTTCACTAGCAGAAAGGAAAAGGAAAAAGTGGGAACTCAGGCTAATATTTATAAGGGTAATTAATCAAGATAAACAATTGATGATTTCATACCAGGAAAGTGTGTCTTCATGTTTTTACCCTTAGGAAGAGCTTCCTTATAAAATATTATCTTAAAAAATTCAAAGGTTGAACCACAGTTAAAGTTATTACATGAAGGCAGAGTGCTAGCATAGATGCACTATCTTCCTTTATGCGATAGGGGTGAGACCTATTTGAATAAAGGCTTGCTTTATAATTGGTACATTGCTCACTTTATTCAACGCTAGCAATAATTCCATTAAGGACTGTCTTGCCTCTTTGAATTGGTCTTTTTAAAGCCCAATCACATATCTAGGGTCTAAACAGACTATAACAACCACGAAAATGCAACTTTAAAAGATCAATGTTCTTTAAGTATTTTTCCTCTCTCATTGCACGGTCATTTTTGCAAGTGCTAAGTATTCAAATTGAAGTTCTCTCTCTCTCTCTCTCTCTCTCTCTCTCTCTCAACCAAAGGCTATGGATATGCCATAAAAACAAGATAAACCATATCAAGTTTAGATGCAATTTTAGCCGGCCGATAGCTTTTTACAGAATTAGATCCCCTACCCATTTTTCAACATGGGTAAGGCGCCCAAACGCTCATCTCATGATAAAAGTAGTTATGGTACAATCTTAAAATTATTTTAAAAAACCATAAAAATGCGAAAATGTGTCATTTTATAACTGCAAGGTATCTGCATATCTCCTATTTTATCTATAAGCTACAACAACAACAACAAACCTTATTCTATTATATGAGATTAGTTGCATGTTTGCAAAATGATATTGTGCTTTATTATTAACTAAATCTTTAGATGGGTTGACAGCTAAAAAGTATCGTTCAATGATTTTATTGAGTGTTATTTTCAATCTTTTCCTATTCTTTTTTAGAGGACTCTGTATTTTCTTATCTACTATTCTTATTGGTGCCTTCAAAAGCCTTATTTATACATTTCCAAACGGAAGAACAATATCATCAAGGAAAAGCATTCGCTTAAAGATTCCTCGTTGAATAAGCTTAGTTAGAGAACATCTAGAATAAGGTCAAACAAAAAAATTGAAGTAGTAATATAAGACCCATTAACTAATTTGATTAGATTAAGAAAGTTAGGTAAATTGGTTAATTATAGAAAAGTGACATTTTCCTAAAACACCATAATCATCTTAATACCCCATTCTTCTATTTGATTATGGTTGAGGGAGTATCCATAGGGGTAATTTAGAGAAAATTGATAAATATGATAAATGGGTCTTATATTTAGGACCAAAACCAACTCAATTGGGTCCTATATTAAGGACCGGAGGAGTATAAACATTACAAGAGAGACTGCGGGTTTAAGCTCTTGAAGAAGAAGCTGGAAAAGAATTGGGAATGCCATTTGCATGTGAACACACTTGCTTTTGTTAAAGCAGAGATTCAGCTTGTAGTTGCAGATATATGAGGAGGAGGATGCCAAAAGAACCTCTAAAAAAAAGCATAAGATGCTGAGAGCCTGCACATCATAATTATTCATTAGATATTCTTACGTGCCATTTGTTGATATTCAAATTCCACTTTGTATTCTTCTCGTTACAGCTGCCGATATATATGCCTTATTGATTGCTCTGATCTAGAATCTTGAATATTCTGTAAAAGTTATCTTATAATTATATTTTATACATATATGCTTCCACAATGCAAGTAAACCCAGAGCAACATGTATGTGTAAAAGTCAGACCTAGCTAGCCACAAAGCAATCTTTGTGAGGTTCACACACAGACACAGAGGATTTTAGATTAAGAAACAGAGATCCAATTCTAAGAACTATGAACAGTGAGAATATGAAGGACAATCATGACTTTCATACCACTTGCTTTGGTTTCTTTGGCATATGCCATTTTCTCTCCAATACTGACCTGCAAGCTTTATTTCAAGCTAGCAATGGAAGGCACATTTCTGTTATGTTTGGTTGGAAAGTAATAGAGAAATAAAGGAGAGGAATTTTCTTTATTTACCATTAAGAATGCCTTTCCAGTCATCTCTATCTCCTAGATTGCGTCGAACCTCTTCCAAATAACCAAAAAAGAAACCTATGCTGCGTGCTGATGTCCTTGAAAGAATAAGAAGCTCAAACGCGTAAAATCTTGGATTCCTTTCTGGATTAAGGATTTCGGGAACTAGTTTTAATACTTATCGTAATAATAAACATCATAATACTCATCATTGTGTTAAAATCTAAACCATTCCAAATTAGTTTTAATGGTTTAAATTTAAATTTTTTAACTTGTGATTTTTAAATAAAAAATTTATTTTTTGAAAACACTTACAGTTAAGATGTTACATTTATTCTAGATTATGTAACTATTGAAGAAAAAATATTTTTTGAACAACAAAAATATTAATATTAAATATTGACTGTCCATATTAAATTTGAATAGTTGAGATTTGATAAGTATCATAGTGCTCATAACTTCAGTAAGCATCAAAACAGGCTTCAGGATTTAGGTATGTTTAAGCTTTTTTTTGGTATTTCCAAAAATTGACACGGACCATCAATTTAAGATAAGGATGAGGTTTTGGCAAGCACTAAGTAGAACATCAATTTTGGAAAGAAGAAACATCAATGAAATTTATAAGAGTGGGTGTGATTTTTCTTTTATGCCTGGGCAACATAAAATTGGGGTAAATTAGTTACAGCCTCACAGGGACTTACAAGTAAGATTTTCAGATCAATGTAAAAAATGTGAATTAAAAGTCAAATCTTTACGAATAAAAATAACTTTTATTTGGAGGATGCGATGTAAAGCTAGATTAGGAGGTGTGGGAAGGGGAAAGCATCAAATTTGTGGTGAAATATAGGGCGAAAGAAGACCACTTGGAAAGAGGAAGCATCCAAGTCCCATGTACACCACAAATATGTGCCAACAAAATTGTGGTCAGCCCTTACGCGCAATTGGGGCAATTCCAACTCCTGCCGCCGCCCAACCCTCCCATTCATGCATCTCCCATTTCAGCAAAATGCCTTGCAAGCCATTTAATTGGATATCATAACTCTAATTTCCCATGGATCCGTCTTGGCTTCTATTACTAGTCAAAATATTTTTTATACGTTTCTTGTTAACTTTCCTTAAACATTTAATAATGTTTTGCTGCTTACAAATTGGGCCATGATATACCACTCTGATGCTTTTTTAATTGTTATTTATAAGAGAAGATTTTAGTCTTTTTTTAATTTATCACTTGTACTTTTTTTTTAGTACTTCATTTTCAATTCTATCCCCATCAATTTAAGGGCGATGAATGTAAAGATGAAGAAAGAAAAAAATGAGTGAGAAAAAATGTACCGGCTATTTAATAACAATAAAAAAAATTTATGTCTTTTATAATTTCTTTAGTATTAAAAAAATTACAACAAATAACCATTAAAAAGTACCACAGTGGTTTATATTTCTAGAAATCAGAAATCAGAATCCAACTTTTGGTCATTGAAGCGATTGACCCATCCACCTGCACCGTCCACACACGCCTACGCAATAATAAAGCGGCCGAACGAAGGGCCCACGCAGAATCGCCATTAACTTAACCAAATTAAATCAATCAAACTCACACAATCACGGAAAACCCCACCAAAAAATGATTCCCTCACGCTTTTTCGTTGACCTTGATCTTAATTACAATCTTTTTTTATCTTTGTTTTATTGATATAATAGTATTAAATCGTTTTTATCTTCATTAAAGAATATTTAATTTATCGAATTTCATTGACCTTGATCTTAATTACAATCATTCTTTCTTTATTATTACCAATAATCCAATTTTTAGTTGAAAACTAACTTACATTTATATCCCCTCGACATCATAAAAGTTGTTGATGTCAGTTAAAATTCTAACCATACCAAAATGAACTATTAATATTAGTATCAATAGTTTAAAAAAAATTATTTGTTTTGCCAGCATACAAAAACACGTTTATCTAAGTCGTGCTACAACCCATTCTCATCGTTTATCTTTTCCCCCGTTCATTTTCATCGTTTATCACTAACCACGGTACTGGTACTCTTTGAGAGCGGACAAAGGGTTCAGCGCAAAAAGAAAAACAAATAAGGAAAGAAATGGATTTGAACAATAACTCTTGATGGGTCTTGGGGGGTCAAAAACACCAAAATTCAGGAACTCTTGGAACTTGGAACATAAATTCTAGCAGACAGACGTGAATGGAGGGAACAAACACCCTACACGCTTCCCACATTCAATCCGTTTGTTTTCTTTTTCTTCATTTTTCCTAAACTTGACAGTACCAGCAGCACAAGGCCAAAAAAAAAAAATACCAGCAGCAAAATGCCGGCAACAAAAGCAAAATAAACATTAACGGACGACCTCGACGACGACAAGCATTAATTTAAAAATACACACTGCGGGCAGGGGAATGCAAAAGCGTAAATGGACAAACTCACATCTCAAGCAACGCAATAGGACCACTGCTCATCATCTGCGACCACAGAATCAGCAGAAACGCCATTGAAATCATCATCAGAAGCGCAGTAGTAAAAGCCATTATTGTTGTTGCGAGCAGCGGTCAAGCAGCAAGAATCCACAGCCAGATATGGCATGTTGTTGAACGAGCGGGCGAGGCTGGAAGCCAGAGCTGAAGCATTGTGGATCTTATCTTCATCCTCATCCTCCATTTGCTGCTCGAAGCTCTCTTGCACGCGGTGCTTCAGAGTCTCGAACATGAGCTCGGGCTCGTGTTGCATCACCCGTAGGACATCCGCGCACGACGGCCCCGGCACTGCACGCGTCACTGCGAAGCTGTATGGACCGTCGCTCTGCGACACCCGAACCACGCTCGGGCCACCGAACAGATTATGGACTCCTCCGAGTGCCTCCTCGTAAGCCCCACCTAAGAACATTCCCAGATAGTATTTCCTGACATTACCGCCATTGGCACCACCTTCGCCTTCCAGATCATGGAGCGGCAAACTAGACTCGCCTCCTATGAACTTGTCTATTTTTCCATCACTGTCACAGGTCAAATCTGATAAAATTCCCCTTGCGGAGGGCTTCTCGTCCAGACGATGAATGGGAGCTATGGGAAACAGTTGTCCAATGGCCCAAAAATCAGGAATGGAAGTGAATATCGAGATGTTGGCATGGTATGTCCTTACCGGATCTGTTGCACCCATTGCCTTATTCACCAAGTCACACAAACCATCAACAGCAGCAAGGTGCTCCATGTCTAGAGAACCCTGTTTGAATTGCTCAACACATCGTTGCTTCAATTGATCAACGTACAGCAAGCAGGTATCATAATCACCTCTCATGGCCGCAGCAGAAAGGTTACTATAATCTGCCCGAGCATCCTCTGAGAGCCTCTCCGCCAAATATTGCAACCCAAGGGTGGACATCGTTGGAACTTCGTAAGAAGTTGCAGAAACCACTTCAAAAATAAAAACAGAGTGATGAGAAACAATGGCCCT